TCATTCTCCCTCCCCCCTCCCTCCCTCCTTTCCTTCCTTCCTGTCATTCTCCCCTCCCTCCTTTTTTCCTTCCCTTCCTCCGTCCTTTCCTTTCTTCCTGTCATTCTCCCTCCCCCCTCCCTCCCTCCTTTCCTTCCTTCCTGTCATTCTCCCCTCCCTCCTTTTTTCCTTCCCTTCCTCCGTCCTTTCCTTTCTTCCTGTCATTCTCCCTCCCCCCTCCCCCCCTCCTTTCCTTCCTTCCTGTCATTCTCCCCTCCCTCCTTTTTTCCTTCCCTTCCTCCGTCCTTTCCTTTCTTCCTGTCATTCTCCCTTCTCCCCCTCCTTCCTTCTTTCCTTTCTTCCTTCCCTCCCTCCCTCCTGTCATTCTGTCTTGGATGTCCAATCTCTGCCACTTTAACCACCTGTGGACTTCAGCTCCCAGAATGGCTGGCTGGGGAATTCTGGGAGTTGAAGTCATTGAAGTCTTAAAAAGTTCCCACAGTTGGACCCACCTGCCTGTAGAGCTTTATGCGTGGTTCATAAATCGCATGTACTTTCTCAGCAACAAGCAAAGCTCCTAATGGATTGTAACTAATCCACGAACTTTCGGGAAGAAAACTCCACAGTTCGGTGTCATCATCCTGGATCGAATCTAGCTTTTGTTCACCTCCTGTTCCCTCTTCTTTTCCTTCCTTTAGTGGGCCAGATGGAGAACATTTCACCTGGGCAGATCATTGACGAGCCCATACATCCCGTGAATATCCCAAGGAAAGAAAAAGACTTCCAAGGAATGTTAGAATACAAGAAAGAGGATGAACCGAAGCTCGTTAAGAATCTCATCTTAGGTAAGAGGCGTTTCTGCTTATAAAAAGCGCCGTGTGGGGGTTTTGCAAACATAACATCGCTTTCCCCCCCTCCCCCCCATTATGTACAATTTAATTGTTAGTCTACTGCACAGCAAATTCCCTTTTCTCCTTCAGTGGCTTTACGCTCTTCTGTTCTATAATCAGCCCAGGTAATTTTTTTTTAAATAATTGGCGACTGCACAAAGGAAAACAAACTTGGAATAGAGTCGACAGCGTCCATTTCAAAAGAACCGAGAAGTGTTATTACTTGAAAATACTTTAAAACGAAACATTTGCCTTTGAATCACTCTTGATTCCTTGAAACTGCTTGAATAAGTTCTTGGCGGCTTTTTCAGAAGTGAGTTGCCATCGCTTCCCTCTTAGGGCTAAGAGGCACTGGCCGGGTGCCGCACTTGGCTTTTCGCCTAGGGCAGGACAAGAACTCGTATTCTCCTAGTTGCCTTAAGCCACTTCTGGCTCTTTGCCATTTTATTAGGGCATTTTAAATACGCTGATGCAATATATCAATGGCGCAATGGTCTTCTGACTTAGGCTTCCTGATAAACTATAAATATCATACGCTTAATCCCCCAAACCCTCTTTTATTTAGACGGCTGTGAATTATGATCATTCACAGCTCGTAATGATTCACAAGTAGTCTGTGAAGAGTCCAGCAGATGTCTGTCACAGTCTTTCGGGGCAATGCTGATAAACACCCACCTTTATCTCCCTTGAAACGTTGCCGGAGACTTAATTGCCAATTCCCTTTGCAAGGCCAAAGGGAGCACAGAGTCAAACGGAACTTCTCAGAGTTTGAGCCGACTGACCAGAATGAACCAATTGCTTCCTGCAATTGGTTGGCTCCTCTTTTATGTCTTATGGGAGGGGCCAATCATCTCTAAGCCTTATTCTCGAGTCGCCCTTTTTGTCTTAACTGTTCTTGCCTTTTGGCAGTTCTGGGCATAGCGCAAACTGGGAACAGGCTCACACTGTTCTTCTGCCTCGCTGATGTCAGGCTCTGGAGGCACGCATCACTACCAGATGGCCTTGGCCCCCTCTTTGCCTCCGATGCAGAGCCCTCGTCCGAGCCTTCCCCAGATTCCAGGACTGGCCCATATTCCTCCCCAACCTCCCAACTGTCTGAATCGGCTGCCAGCTCCACAAGCCCCCGGTGGACCACAACAAATGGCTCAGAGCTTCGGTTTGAGACCTGAGTGCCACACAATGGGATGAGCTCCCATTCCTTTTTCCAGCTCCTCCCCACCTGGCAGTTCAAAAGCCTGCAAATGCGAGTAGATAAATAGGTACCACTTTGGTGGGAAAGCAGTAGTGTCCCGTACCCCTTTGGCTGGCCAGATGAGCACAGAAATGTCTTCGGACAATGCTGGCTCCTTGGTAAGAAACAGAGATGAGCACTGCCCCCTAGAGTTGGGCACAACTGGGACAAGGGAAACCTTTACTTTTAAATGCAACGATCTATAATGTTGGACCTGCAAGCCATCTTTTGTTTTTCAGTTTCAGTCCTGCCTCACTTTCTACTGTGGGAAAATGGGAGTGGGGATTATATGGAGTTGGGTGATATGTAGCCATAATAACATTCTTCTTAGAAAGCCAAGGTCATCTTTGTCTCTGCACCTGGCCGGATCTGGATGGGAGGAAGCTATCTTCGTGGCAGTGGAAGATTGAAACATGTGATAAACTTGTGGGTGCTGGGGAAGGATCTTGAACTTTCCACCGGGTGGGGAAAACTGGAAGCTTTCAGATTTGGGTTTCCCGAGATGTGCCAACATGGCTCTTTTAATAAATTGGAATTTTGAGGAACCTCTTGCCTCGGATTCTTACTTTATTTTAGATGCTGTTTGGAACCCTGACATATAAATTCCTCTTTGTGGCTTCTTTCTCCCTCAGACCTGAAGCCTCGTGGAGTGGCAGTAAATCTCATCCCAGGGCTTCCAGCTTACATTTTGTTCATGTGTGTCCGGCATGCTGACCACCTTAACGATGATCAAAAAATGAGGTCCTTGCTGACTTCTACAATTAACGGCATCAAAAAAAATCTGAAGGTCAGTTTTACGGTTTCAATTGAAATGTCAGCCCGGAGTTTAGTAAAAAAAAAATACTGTGGATGAGCTCCGTGTCATACATAACCTGTCATGAAAACGCGACAGGCATATAAAGTATTTTTCTGTTAGAATAATAAAGGACAACTATCTCCCTCTCCATTCGTGGCACAGATTCCACGATGCGGAAATGGATTCAAAGAGAGTCCCAAAGGTGCTTAAAAAAATAAAATAAAAAGGCAGCTGGGCTTTTGTTTTCCTTCGAAGACGTTTTGCCTCTCATCCAAGGAGCTTCTTCAGTTCTGACTGAAACTTGTTGGATGAGAAGCGCGACGTCTTCAAGGCAAAACGAAAGTCCAATTTCCTTTTGA